AGGTGATGAGTTCTTCTGCAATTTTTTTAGCTGTGTGTTTTACAGCATTCTTCATATTTGTCATTAAAACATTACTGAAGCCATCTTTAGCTTGTCTAGAGAGAAATTTTGGCATTGACTTAAGTTGTTTGCCAAATTTAACTAAGGTTTTAAAACATTTGAAGCCCTTTGAAATCAGCTTTCCAACTCCAAACCCAATGAGAGACACTCCAATAGAAATGGCTTTGTCTATAGCCCATGACTTCCAGCTGAATTCTCCTGTCACCATGGCCTCAATACCAGTGATGCAGTCTGATATTCCCTCAATAATGAGTCCCATTCCAACTTGAGCAAATGTTCCAAATGTAAATGCAGTGAGCAGTGCTCCTCCAACAATCTGTAAAACTCCAAGAAAGAACACCAGAAGACCTTCCCATGAGAAACGAGGTTTTTCTTCCACAGAAAATACATATTTCAGACCTCGACTGTAGAGATTGTGAGCTTCAACTTGGAGATCTTCATCAGCATCTGAAAATAGTGAGAACGTCGGAGATTTTTGAGCCATTCCATCCCTCCCTTTCTCTCTTATTTCTCGTAACTTTTGGATAGCCTCAGTAATGCTTTTATCAAAGTAGCTATACATTGTGGACCTGGTTGATAACTGTTTTTCCAGGCTGGTTGTGTTGCTGTTGGATGAGTCAGCAGAGGACATTTTTACAAACTGAAGACAGACAATTAGTTCCTCATTGGGAAACTTCAAAGATTCCTGTGCCTTTGTTAGATCATCTATGGCCTTAGTGAGGTAATCTGATTTCTTTTGTTGTATAGTGCAGTATGCATGATTGTAAAAAGCTACAGCTGCCCAGCTTTTATCCTCTGTCATGGCTTTTTCAAACAGTCTGGCTGCAATATCCCACTTTTTTTCATCCAGTGCAATATTTCCAAACTTGATGTAGTGATAAATGCTGGAACTTGGTGAAGTCTGACTTTGACACTGACTTTTTGCCTTTGACAAATCAGCTTTCAGACTCTCTTGCAGTTCATTTCTCTTCAACTGATCAATTTCTTCTGATTTAGTTTGCAGCCAAATCCCCCAGAACTCATTCATGATGGCAACAACAGCTCTTTCCTCGTCTCCATCAGTGGTGTTATAAATATGTTGAAGTGTTTCACAGTATTCTGAAAAAAGGTCCTCCCGCAGTTTCATCTCAGCAACATCATTCATCATGTGACTTATCTTTTCTGCTGCAAGTCGGTCTCTTGTGCTCTTGGCTTCCTCCAGAGAGGACACTGTACTGAAAGATGGCTGCAGGTGTTCAGTGGAAATGATTATCTGAGCAGATCCAGGTTTACCTTTGCGTGCAGTTCGTCCAAAAGCCTGGAGTTCCACCCTCGTATTTTCAGAAAGGAAGGAGAGGATCACAAATAACCCTCCATTATTGTTCACCTTTGGGGACACTTTTATGTCTGTGCCACGGCCGGCAAGGTTTGTGGCAACAATGACATCACCAGGATCAAGCTCCTTGTCTATTTTACTCAAACTGTCTCTGTCACTGCGGCAGTAGAGAATGATTTCACCTGGGATGCTGCTCTTCAGCTCTTCGTAGATCTCTTTTGCTTTGTTGATAGTTTCACAGATCACCAACGCTGCTCTTCCATCTCTGTATGAATTTGGGGAAATCTGAGCTGTGACCACATGTTTTATTTCAGATTTCCATTCTTCAGCAGTTTTTTTCAGAGTACCTTTGACCTCAAATAACTTTTTTCTGTTGAAAGTTGGTATTTTGCACACAGAGAGATTTGGATACAGGTCCTGCAAAAACTGAATGTGTGCTTTGCTCCCCAGTGTTCCTGTTGTTCCGTATATTTTTCCCTGGTATTTCTCAAAAAAAGAAACGTTGGAAATGTAGTTTGTCACTGTTGAAATTGTGCTCAGTTTGACTTGGTGTTTAATCTCCACAAACTGCTGCAGACCATCACCCCATTTCTTATTCAGTTCAACAATACCAGTGGATCTGAAGTCCACTGGACAGACGTTGTCATTTTCTACGACATATTCTCGTCCTTGTTTCAGTAACATTGCCAGAAAGGCATTCTGAACCCACACTGAGACTTTCTTCTCCACCAGATTCTTTAAGAAACCAGGAATGCTGATTTTATTGTTTGCTTTATTGTTTTCACATGGGGTGTACTGAATCATCTCAGAGATCAATTCTGCAATGGGCTTAATGAGAACTTCTTCTGACTTATAGAGAGGACAACACAATCCTTCCTCCAAGACAAGAAATGAAAGCTCTGGGATGTCCCGGTCATTGTATGGACTGCACTTTTGAAGACAGAGCAGCCCCTTGTCATCTAGCGTGTAAACAGTAAAGCCGTAAGGCACATAGTCCTCAATTTCTTTGAAAAAGTCAACCATAGCATCCTGACTCACTGTTTTCAGTTTACTGAGAAGTTCATGGTTTTCACTCTTGTAGATATCTTCTGAAAATCCTTTTGGCACAATGTTGGATTCTTCAGCAATACCTAAAATGTCCATTGGATCACTAATTTCAGTGTCTTCTGTGTCCATTGAGTCAAAGATGGCCTTGAAGAATGAAGCAGGAGGACCTCGTACAAATGTCTGGTGTCCTGTAGATAGGAAGCCATACTGACTGACGTGGCTCCAGATCATGGTGAGAATAATGTTCAGGTGCTGCATGGAGACCATGGGGCTGGACAGGTATGTCAGCTGCACTCCCTGATCCAGCAGCAGTGAGTCCACTTCATCAATAATGATGCACTGAAAGTTACGATCAGGCCTCACATCCTTCATCTCAAATATTTGGCGAAGGTGATCAGCAGCAAAGGCTTCAATGGTTCCATAGACCACGTCCTTCTGATAGCACTCTTTCCGATATTTATCCTCATTTTTATTTGTGTTTGTGTCGACTGTAATGCCAAAGTATTTGTAAAATTTGGCCCATTCTTCAGCATCTCTTTGACATAACACAGAGGAGCTGGACACCACATCCACCTTTTCACCTCTAAGCACACGCAGCACTGCAAACATCGCTATGACACAAGACTTCCCTTCTCCAGTTCCCATCTCCAGGAGCTTCCCAGTGTCAGACAAGGCCAACAGGCACCAGCTTATCATCTGAGTTGCCCTGGGAAACCACTTCCTTTCAGCTTTGTGGAGGTGTACAGCATTGCATAAGACTGCAAGAACTTCCTGAAGGTCCTCTGTCTCCATGCTGTGACTCAGAGTCCTAGCTTGCTGTATGTCTTTGTGTTTTTTAATTTCACCAGTTTTGATGAGGTTTGTTACATGAGTTACTATGTTGTATGATTTACTCAGTGTTTGTTCGTCAATTTCTTTCATCTGCCGTATTTCATAAAAAAGGTTGTCAATGCTTTCAGTTTTCTCATCTTTAAGGCTCTTGTCTAGATGCTGGATCAGATTCTTACTTGTGCATGAATCTATGAGCTCAAGGAGAGAGTTGTTGTTTTTATCTTTCCACTTGGAAGAAACCTGATATGTTTCCACCAAATGTAAAATCTTCATGATGGAAATACAGCTTTTATCATGATGGTGTATAGTTAATGCTTCAAGAAACTTTAAGGCCTCTACTGGTGACCAAAGTCTTTGTTCTCCAAGATTTGAAACCATCTCAAAAACTCCTTTGGTATCTTTTTTTGAGTCTTGAAATTGTTCCACACAGGCAAATAAAATCTCCAAACACCATTTGCCTGCAGGATCTGTCATGTTTTTAACGGTTTCTGTTTCTCTAACAAAACTTTTCATCAGATTCTCCAGAAAGGTCAAAATGAAGATCTCATTAAAAAGCAATTCCTTTCTGGTGATTTTCTTTGAGATTGTGATGATTTTATTGTCAGTGATTGTGTCTTTGTTTAGGATACTGTGAAGGACCTGAAAAAGGGCCTTAATAAACATGTGTATCAGTCCCACATCTTCACTGTGAAATTTACTCATGAGGTTCTGCAGGACCTCTGCAGCAAACACCAGAGAGTCATCGTCTTTGAGTCTTGAAAGCTCCAGAGCATGCAGAGCACTGAGACTTTGTTTTTCTATAATGAATCCACGATTTAACTGTGGGTTCCCTGTTTCCATTGCCTCTATGCCACGTTGAACATAATCTGACACAAAATTATCCATTGTACCATAAACAATGTCTGCTTCATAGACATCCTGGAATGATGGATCAGTCTTCTTCGTGTTTGTGTTGAGTGAAATGTCAAGTTGCTTGTAGAAGTCAGACCACTCCTTTGTTTGCTCCTCTGAGTGAACATCAGAGCTCAGCACAATGTCCAGTTTGTTTCCCAAGCAGACTTGCATGGCTGCAAACATGGCTGTAACACATGGGTCTTCTTCCACACCAACCAGTTGTACCACTCTACTTTTCTGAGTCAGCACCAGTCCACACCACCGCACAATCTGCCTCACTGTGGGCCACCAGCCTTTTATATCAAACACTGCTTTGCAGAGCTGACACAGACACTTCTGTATGTTGTCTGCATTCAAAGATTCACATTTAAATGAATCTTTCATAAAAGATTCTTCTTTTGGTATATTTTCTGTATATTTCAGGACACCAGTTTTAATGTTTTTTATCATATCAATGGCAGAGTCACCCAAATTCCACAACATTTGTACTTCTGCTAAAACTGCAGTTACACTGCTCTCATCTTTTCCTCTTAGAGTCTTTTGGAAATCCTGACAAAATCTCTCAGGGGCAGCAGATTCAAGGAGCTGGATTAGAGAGTGCCCACAGTCATCTATCCAATCTGGTGGTATGTCATACACTTGTACCAAGGTAAGGATTTCAGTTATGGAATCATCATCTGCATATTTCTGTGACAGTGCTTTAAGCAGAGTGACTGCCTCCATTGGAGTCCATTGGTTCATTTGCACAAGTTTGAGGAGCATTTCAGTAGATTTTGAGTGGGCTTCTTTTCCATTTAGATCTGTGAGTGTGGATAAGAGAAGCTTCAAACACTGGATTTCCATCTTTAAAGTGAACACAGAGGCTCTTCCAATTGTACTCTGCAGTGATGATGTAAGGGTGCTCAGGAATTCAATTATAAAGAGGTTCTCAGTGGAAATCTCATATTTTGCCCATTGTTTGGCTACGAAGCCGGCATCACTATCAGATCTTCCGCTGTCATTGAAAAAGTGCATCAGGTTCAGATACAGGGCTTGAGTCAAGAGGAAACTCTCAAAAACACCACTTGCTGATTGGCTGATGGATCCTAAAAGGGACTGCATATGATTGGAGACGGTGTGTAAGGAAACTCCTTCAGATATCTCCAGAGACAGAGCACAGAGCTCTGTGATGAACACCTGAGTGTGCTGCAGAGTGCTGATGGATGGGGGAGCACTAATCCACTCATCAAACAGAAGTTTGTTCAGGACTGAAAGGATCTCACTGAGCTGATCAGCTGTCAGCTCAGTGAGACTGAGACTCAAAACTTCAACACTGCATTTTGTAGAAAGAATTTCAAGAAGCTCATCACTGCCACTACCTGATTCATCATTAGCTTTAAAGTCATCCAGATGCCATATTAGAGCATCTCGCTTGGATTCATATTCCTGAGAAATGTAGCTGCTCAATTGTTTCTCAAGCTGCTCTTTGGCTCGTTGGTGAGATTCTTGTAGTCTTTGATTCAGTTTTTCTTTCTTCCTCTCCTCTTCTCTTCTCCTCTCCTCCTCTCTCCTCTTTTCCTCTCTTCTCCTCTCCTCTCCTCTTCTCCTCTCCTCCTCTCTTCTCCTCTCCTCTTCTCTTCTCCTCTCCTCCTCTCTCCTCCTCTCCTCCTCTCTTCTCCTCTCCTCCTCTCTTCTTCTCTCCTCCTCTCTTCTCCTCATTTCCTCTTGATCTCTCTTTGGCTTATTAAAGCAATATTCACACTCATATGCGTCATCGTGACCAACTGGTCTGTAGTATTTACCTCCATTGTACACATATACGACTTGACCATGAACCTCAGTTTTGTAAAAGTCATCGAATGATTTGCATGGAGGCAAGACTTGATAACATTTGCAGCATCTAAGGTTATTGCCCATGTTACTTTCTGTTGGGACCTGGTTCCCCATTTTGATGACTTCAGCAGACAAGTTACAGTTATCTGAAAGATAAGAAAAAAAGAATGATTAAATGATCACAGACTCCGCTTTGTTTTATCCAGTTTCAGTTATATCTTGCCAAACATGTTTTGTGGTTATTAGAGTTTTTCTGAATTGCTAAAACACTAAACCCCATTCTCTAAACCAAATTCTTAGTGGCCTAAACTTATTTTTCGAATCAAACACTCTGTTAGCCAAACCTTAAACACGGTTAAGCCATTTAGAGATGATTTGCAAAACTCATCCACTCTTTTTATCAAACCCATAAACACATGCTCAGTCACTAAACACATTTCACACGTGTATTGCAAAACTGTAAACACTGGCAGCAAAATGTGAACACAACTCCAAAAGCTGTCATCTTTTACACACAGCTACTCTCAATTGAAGACATGTTTCTGATGATGCGATCAGACCCTATAAGCCAAACTCTGCATGAGTTAAACATCTAAGATATCCGTATGTATGAGTGCAACTTATCTACACTTTCAGCAGCGACGCTTCCAGTACAATTCTATGTCCACGGGCCTACTGTTACTGTAGGCTAGTTGTTGCAGATGCTACTCTTGCAATACTGTATACTATATTGTGATGCACATTACAGTTTTTTCTGAATGCTTAAACCCTAACTGTGATTCTTATAGCACAATTCCTAAAACTATTACAGTTTTTTCTGATTGCTTAAGCACATTTTTTGTAACTATTGGCTATTTTTGCAAAACTCTACACACAAATAAGAAAACCTGTC